AACGAATCGATGGCGGAATGGCCGCAAATGGCGTCGTTACGGGTGGCTCATTAGGGTGATGTAGATATTAATTTTAAATAATAGGTACTGTGCAATAACGTAAAATTATGTGGATTAGGTAAAGAATGATGGTATTTCATGTGCCGCACTATATCTAATGTCAGATTTGGTTGCAGATTCAAACCCTGAGGGGGATTGTTAGTGCAACAAACATAATCTTTTGTACCAGGAGCTTTAATTTGTTCTGTTTCTGTTATTACCTATTAAAAAAAAAAACACAATTTTATCGTAAGCTATGTTACATTATGACACACACAATTATTTCGTTCAGCTTTTCTTTCCAATTTGTTTCGTGAATTAGTATGTGAATTTTACTATTAAATTGTTAACTTTTAATCAAAATTGAAAGGCAGGCCCTGGATGCAGGCCGCTACCAACCGTGCGATGTGGAAGTCATTTGGGGGAGGCCTATGTTCAGCAGTGGACGTCCTATGGCTGAAATGATGATGATGAATCAAAATTGAACTGAACTAGATAACTTGTCAGACAGACGATGAATACGTCAAATCTGCGTCTGAAAGCCTGTGATTCTAATCTAATATGTATTCTGAATAGTGCCAATAGGACACGTAACAGCCACGCTTCCTACCGTCGCGTCAGGTTACCTCATCGCAAAGCTGACGAAGACGGGAAACCGCACAAATGCAAAGTCAAAACTTATTACGGACGAGGGATATTGAATATTGGAAAAGCTTCATGCTTTTGTTATTACTCTCTATCGTAGTTTCCGTATTCATGCCAGCTCTAATTCTGTGCGAGAGGATCGATAGACCCAAAAATACAGACAACGTCGTAGATTGGCTATGCGACAGCGGCAAAAAACAACTCAAATAAAACAAACTCCGATATAAAGGTTAACTAAAATAAATAATCAGAGCTACCTGTATATTCTGCCCTTTGATGAAATAGCTCTTTCAGTTTTTGACCAGGCTTTGCCTGAAGAAGGAATAAGTTTTCCAAGAGCTTACAATAAAGAGCTTTGAATAATATTATCATTATGCTATCGTGTAGCATTAAATTTTACGGAATTCTTCCATCTATTCGGCTATTATAATCCTCATTTCAAGGGTCATCAACACAACGAGTCCGTCGGCAATTTTAATGATGCCGGTATTTTCTCTCTTCCATTTATCATTAATTAGATTAGAAACAAACATTAATTATGCAATAAAAGAAAACGTAGATCATTGCGAACCATTACATCCACGAATGATAATTTGAATTGATTGAAACCTAGTCTTTGAAAACAAATAATGTATATTCAAAACAATTATTTAAAAATAACAGCAAATACCTACTAGCTGATCTTCGACCTCACTAAACCAGCTTAATTAGCGTGTTAAGTCATCAGATTAGACACCTGACAGCCGTGTCTGTCTGTCCACCATTGACAAGCACTTATCTTTGACCCCGACTCTTTACTTTTATGATTCCCAAACTTTTTTATTACCCCACAACTTTATTAGTCGTAGTCCTCTTGATAAGTTTGAGCTTAGTTTTACTTACTCGTACTCGTCGTCTAGCGGCTAGACTTTAGCACATGTTTATGATAGCCATTAAAAGTTGATGTTCAAAACAAGTAATAAAGATAAATGTTGAAATTTACTCACGGACCCCTGATCCTAGGAAGTCAGATTGGGAACCGTTGCTTTATGAAGTAATGAAGCTAGCTTTTGCTTGCGGTTCCGCAAGCGTAATTTCTTCTAGATTAAAAAGTAATGACCACCGCGGATCTCTTACAGAGTAAATTTTTATGGTTAACCACCAGTTTACTTTGGATTCTGAAGTATGATTCTGCCGTTCCAATATAACACCTCCCTTGGCCGACCACCATCAAACATGGGTCAAGTTTTCAACGTAGGATTTTGGCGATAAGAATTTTATTATCATAGAAATGTTAATGTCAGATTGTGCCCATACATTTTTATTATTACAACAAGGTTAACAACATAGTTAAATATGTTTCACACACGCACACTTCTATAGTGCGACAATCTCCATCTTTTGTTATGGGAACAAGTACGAGACGCGTCTCAAGATGCGCTACGTCATTGCCCTTTCGGCGCGGACCTTGACAGTACCCGGTAAGGCACCTGGCACTGCGCACTTGAAACGTGAAACGTCCCGCCACTATGACATAGTGCAGGAATCCAAGATCCAAGCTTCTAGGCGAAGTGCCTTATGTGTAAAACGTAGGCTATGACGTTAGTCCATGCCAAAATTAAAATCGCTCCAGCCGTTTAGAAGTGAAGAAGTAGCAAACATACACACTCACAAACTTTAGCCTTTATAATATTAGTGTGATGTGAAATATCTACTACTTTTTACGTTATTACTAATGTTACGTCTAAAAATTACGAATTTATTATAATTAATCTGTCACCAATTTTTTAAACAACTTATCTTAAAAGCTCTCTTCAAAATCTGAATATTTAGTGACGTTTACCATCAGGCCTGTAAAAGCTAGCTCCTAAGATTCTACTCGCGGGAACCTCTCAACGATAATGCTTATCAAAATAAACCAAATTTCCATGAAAATTGCGAAAAAGATTCAGATGGTCCATAAATTACGGAAAGTCCCTTTTGCGGCCATCTTTTCTTTTTATCCGTTTGTGAGTGCTAAGTTTGGTCGAGATTAAATAAAAACTTTCATTTTAGAGGCCCTACTCTGTTTTAGTAAATGTAATTTGTCCTAAATGTACCTAATACGGTTAATCGTAACATTTATAGCATTGAAACAAAAAAGCTTCTTTTAAATACAACTGGACCTTGAAATTTCCATTAAAATTCTTAATTTACTGCGCAACTGGATATTATAGCACGACCGTTACGCACTTTTGTTGCTACTAATAATATTATAGAACTAGGAATCTTCATAATAGGTACCTACTAATTATAAGAAGAGAAAGCGGGGATTTATTAATATAAAACTTTATGTATAAATCTACTGGTAGAATAGAAGATAAACAAATTTTCGCGGAGCCAAGACAGTTACAAAAGAGTGCTTTTGTTAAACAGTGGTATAACTGTATAATTCATTTGTCCTAAGGTCTTCCAACTGTCATACCAAATGCAGTAATTTATAATAATATTCCGCCGGCAACTAAATAACAAAAAGATGCAATTAAGTAAATAATATAGTAGTAGCAGTGGCAGAATCGAGTAGGAGGCATATATTATCCAGATCTTGATATCCTTTAGTTTAGCAATTAGTGAATTAACAGATAGAATATGGCTGTAATTTCAATTATGTGATATCAATTTGATAACGCATTGCTAATGTAATACGATACGTTAATGCGTAGTTATTTTTTGAGTCCGCTATGTCAATCAAAAATGGTTGTTAAATATTTTCTATTGATATAAAAACTTTATATGGCAGTGTCTTGAGAAATGACAAGAGGCAAGGTCAAGTAACAATCGAATATGTTTGGACTGACATTGAAATATAACCATACAAAGTCAAAGCCCACACAAAGCGGTCGCGGTGGTAGCGCACTGCGGCACGCGCTGTATTTAGTAAAGTTGTCTTTTTACTGTTTATAAATGATTAATTAACCTTAACCGTGTCTGCTGTCTTTATTTATTTATAGAAATCCATGGTTTAACGATTTGAAACATGCGATGAAATGACAATCTTATAGTTGAGTTTATTGAATACAGTCACGCTTCAGCATGCACAACGTTTTCTTGCGAACAAAAAATGTATAACTTTTTTTTATTAGTAATTCTTTGGACGTTAGTAACACGGATTTAGGATTTACAATTTTTATGAACGCAGAATATGAACCACTGGTTTGGGTTTGGGCTCATTTCCAGTTCAAATTATTTATTAGTATGTATGTAAGCCCTTTTCAGGGCACATATACTTATGTATGTTCCAAATATAGGTTGCCCTAATATCACTGATCCTGGGTTAGATTTTCAATGTTTTTTTTAACAAAAATGGAAAGTCGCTGTCTTGGTATATTTCTTGTATGGTTTAGTAAAGTTTAGTTATCAGTTAAACTTTCTGCCGGTTAGGAATGATGACTTCTTATTTCAGTGGTCACTAAACTCACCTGAAGTCCGATAGAATTTGTAATTAGCTTATGTGTCACTAACGTAATATTAACCACGTGAATTGTAAATGACTGTAGTTAGAGCTTACTTATCTTAAATCTATCTACATTCTATCTATCTATAAATAAAAATTAATTGCTGTTCGTTAGTCTGATTAAAACTCGAGAACGACTGGGCCGATTGAGCTGGTTTTGGTTTTAAAATATTTGTCGTAGTCAGGGTAGGTCTAAACGGTGAGCAAATAAGGAAAAATTGCGATGGCTTATTTATTGCCTTTAAGGTGGAACAGAGTTCGCCGGGTCAGCTAGTAATAAATATTTTTTTATGAGACGCTTGCGGTGCCCTATGTATAGTTAGCAGTCACTAGGGTTTTAGCTAATGTGATAGAAGTTAATATTGTCCAATTACTTGATCGGATCACGAAGGATAATAAAAATATACATTTGATACTTTAAACATAATGTGCGGTATTGCACAAAATAGGTCGCAGCTTAATCTCGCAATGTGACCTTTCGCTATGGTGCAATCGCAATGTTTCGCGTGCCATCAATTGGTTTACGATACGAATTATTATAATAACAATAGTCTAGCGCATTCACGACTTTTGATTCGGCACACTATTATTTTACTATTTTGAATATCCTTTGTAGAGTTTGCGATAAAATTGCAATTGATTTCTTCAACGTTTATGCTCTATTATTAGATTGATATTATAATACCAATTGAAAAGTTTCACAGATATTAAACCTTATATCGAGTACTATTGTAGTCTCATATCTCACCCAATGTGTAGACGTACAGAATAAAGGACGACCCTGAACTTGGTCCTCGTGAAAACAGTATAGCGTTAGTCGATTGCGTTAAAAAAGTCACTTTACCTCTTTGATCCTCTGCAACAACGGTTCCAGCCAGTGCACGTTGCACTCGACGTGGGAATCCAGGAAGGTGAGCACGGGCGCGGTGGCCGCATCGGCGCCGCGCACCCGCGACCTCATGAGCCCCTCGCGCTTCGTGTTGCGGATCACGCGCACCTTGCGGATGGAGCGAAGGGCTGCTCCGTCTTCGGCTGTTGAAAAATACTTTTGTTAAAGCCTGCATGGTTCTGAATCTTCATGTAATTGTTAGTCGTAGTCTTCAAGAATGAGGCGTAGACACTAAACTTGTGGGGGTCTAACGCTCGTTTTCACCATCAATCCCTAATTTTTAAGCGACCCCTATGGGTGACACAACAGGTATTTTGTTTTCATCATCATCATCATTTCGTCCACTGCTGAACATAGGCCTCCCCCAATAATTTCCACAATGGCCGGTTGGTGGACGTCCTATTCCGTTGCGCTTTCATAGGGGTCACTTAAAGATTAGGGGTTGATGGTGAAAACGGGCATAAGTTCAATGATTCCCACGGTAAATCTTGAATAGCCTAATGAATGGTGATGATAGAAGGCTGATTAGAGGGAAAGTCGTTGAAAACTGCGATTTCATTGGACCCGCAAATAAATTACTTTTTTAAGAGGAACAGTAGGGTAGATGAGACACGAGTGCCCTGGTTAATATGAGGGCAGCTCTCTTTTCAATTACACCCTTTTTATCCATCATCCTCATCAGGGAGTTAATTTCCATCCTTACTTAATATCCTTGGCACAAAAGCCTTGCAACTACTGTTTCCTGCTAATAGAAAGACTGAAAAGGAGGTTTCAAGAAGTCCTAAAGTGCCCACCGGATCAGGCCATGAGATACCCCTTTAATGAGGTTATTAAATGTCATTTTGCTTTTACTTTGCAAATCTAGTATTGAACTTAGGTATTGAATAATAAGTAAAAGTAGTCTTAATAAATGCGTGACATGCCGGGCCTTGACTGTGTCTATATTGTTTTCATTTGAACTATGATTCATTAATCAAATCCATTGTCTCGTACTTTATTATACTTATATGAGGCTTTAATATAATAACAGCTAGGGACTGGAATTCGCTGCCTGCTGCTGTCTTTCCTGAACACTATAATCCGGGCCTTTTCAAGGCGAGAGTGAATAGGCACTTACAGGGCAGATATGTACCATCCTAGACTGCATCTCACTTAATATCAGGTGCGATTGCGGTCAAATACCTCCCTAGTCTTGCATAAAAAAAAGTCTATCCCGGGTTTAGTTCGTTAGTTCTTCTATAGAAAATGTACCTACGTAGGTATAACAACAGTTAACTATGCACTGCTCCATTTTTCTGTGAACTGAATCGATAAACGATAATATTTAATGAACGATATGAACATAGCCCCTTAATCAAAGCAATTGAATGTTATTCACCATTTCAAACCATGTAACGATACAACTACTCGTATCCGACTTGCAATTTCGCAAATCTAGTCCGGTTTGGCTATAATGTTGCAACTAGCCTGTGAAATAAATAGTTAAAATCTCCATTGTCTCCCATACAATCAGTGTGAAAACTTGTTTTATGTTTCTATTACTAAATGAACGAGGTTTCTAATGACGCAGTCTCTCAGCTGTGAGATACAAAACTTGCAGTTTAATTTGTAAAAAGCCCATTGTTTGCGATGGCTACAAATATGGAAAATAATATGTAATGTAAATGCAAAAGTATCTCGACTATTTAGTCTGACTATTTTCACGTTTACATGTAGAGATAAAATTGAATTTGGGAAGAAAAAAAATATTATGGCTCAGTTACACATTGCGGGAAATTAATCGAGACATTAATGTAAAACTGTAAGCACACACCTCAGTTAGTTTCGCCGTGTGTCGCCCTTACTTCGGTCGGTATGCGTGCTCGCGCTTGTTTCATAAATTTCCTGCATAGTGTTCTGCGCTATTAGGCGAACCTTTAGTCGCAAAAACACTAGATGGGTTGAAACAAAGGACATGGGTGAACAAATGTATACATGGAACGTATCACTTATCATGATTGAAAAATGTTGTAAAAAAATCTTCTGGTTCTATTCGTCATAGCTTCTCACTAATGGGCTTTTCCCCTTAGAACTAAAGTAATCAATCTGCACTGGTTGGGTTTCATCGGCGGCCAAACAAAGTACGGGTAGTAAATTCATAAACTCGATCGTCAATCATATCTTTGGGGGCTTCATTCAAGCTCTTATAGGAAATTTTAAATTAAAAGGCTGGAAAATATAAATTGAAATACTTACGGTTATCACTGAAGTCGTCGACTAGAATAATTTCTTTGATTAGATGTTCCGGACTCCTATTCAGGACGCTGCAATGAAAGGAATTTCTATTAGTATTTCAAATAGCATTCATTAATATTTATTAGCTAATATTTAATTTGATTAATTTCATCAATTACTTTTAATGCGGCTTCCGCTGAAAGGTTTATATCGTTACTAGCGGCCGCCCGCGACTTCGTACGCGTGAATCCCGTTTTTCCCGCTAATTCCCGTTCCCGTGGGAATTTCGGGAATTCCTTTCTTAGCACCTCTACGGTACCTAAGCTACGTCCCTTCCAAATTTCAAGTGCCTACGTTTAGCCGTTTAGGCTGTGCGTTGATCTGTCAGTCAGTCAGTCAGTTTCTCCTTTTATATATTTAGATTAAGAAAATTTATAGCATTTCATTTGATATTTATTAAGTATACATAAATAGAAAATGTAAATGTAACAGATAAACAATTAAAACGCAGTTTCACCTACTATTAATGAATATTAGAGGCAAGTACCTATAACAATTACAATTTAATAAATTATAAGTATTAGGTATGGTGTATAAATTTACTAAGTTTAAAACTGTACTGAAAAAATGGCTTATTGATAAATGTTTCTATAGTGTACAAGAATATTTGCAATATTGTTTACTTTTTTTTTATATAAGTTTATATTTTTCACAACTAAATTTTATTCATAATGGTTTGCCCAACTTTATGTGTATATTTAACTGTGGAAACTTAATTGGTTTATGTGTTTTCTTACTGCACCTAAGTTAAATTATATTGTAACTGTATGTTTCCCAAAATAAATAAATAAATAAATAAATAAATAAATAAATAAATAAATAAATTGTAATGTTATAATAATGTATAGTGTATACGCCTGAAAAGGTAGAACTAAGAAATGCCTGTAACTATTTATAAGAACCCTTGTAACCTTTGTTCATACACAATAAAGACATTATTACTTTATTACTTATTACAAGAACATACTTCCACTTATTTAACATATAAAAACATTTCTTTCAGCATATTCAATACCATCTCATAATATTAGATCAAGTAAACTTTCTTCAGACAATTGATAGGTCGGGCCTGGGTAATAATAGTTCCGTGGTTACATTGTTCAAATAGCTTTCAATTCTATTGTTACATTCACTTTAACGCTGGGAATAACTTTGTTAAGATAACTTAGCAAGGAAATTATTCAAAGCATATAAAAATATTGAAGTTTAATTTCCTTATTTTTATTATATCCACTGTGAGACACATTCTGAAATTAAACGGATGGATTTTCTCAGTCGGAAAACTCGCCTTATTACGTCGTAAGTTATACGCTTGTATATCATTAGCGTTATTTCATAAGTACTTAGCCATTATTCAATATCTAATTACCTAATTAACGAACTAAAGCGAAATCATATTACCTACATAATAACTTCTGTTTTGTAGTTTTTGTACTGTTTTTCAGCAGGAAATTTAAGTAATTGTACTGTTCTACTATTTTCAGTCTTTTCTCTAGTAGCATGAGGGTTAAATTAGTAAGATTTCTGCAAAAACAGTGGACGTCCTATGGCTGAAATGATGATGATGATGAAAAAGATTGCTTACCTGACAACGGTTCGAAGCAAGGTCGACCGCGCTTCGTTGTGGAAGGTGATGATGACGCTGGTCTGAGGAAGGTCATCATCATACTTCTTCAGGCGGCACCTGTGAAGAAGAAGGTTTTTTCAGGATGTCTATACAAGTATATGAATTAGAGAGAGGTTTGTTAGACTAAGAACTCAAGACGTAACGTGATAATTAGACAATTATTGCACACCACAGAAAATGGAGAAATTATGAAATACAGAAATGAGAAGGTATAATTTAGGTGGTCTTATCGCTAGGTAGATTTCTTTCAGCTGGTATAAGAGGAATTAATATGACATTACATTTTTTTAAATATCTCTACAACAATTTAAAAATTTAAGTGAATCGGAATCGAAGGTTAGATCAGATTTAAGAAAACCAATAAATCTAATTAATGACCTGCCGAAGATCTAAATATTCAAATTAGGATATTATAACAGACTATTTTAAATGTATAGATATCTAAATAAAGGTTATATAACTATGCAAATGTATGTAAAAGTCAAGGTTAAAATATAGGTCAAAATATTCTAGACTAAAAATCAAAAATAACATTCTGTCTCTAGCCGATAATTTATGTAAATTAGTCAAAAGCTAGATCGATCTAGAACAAACCTCTGCATAAGTATTTTCTATTTTCTTAGTTATTTTTATTTTAATTGGAAAAATAATGGGCAATTTAAATAAGGTTTTGATTTCTAGATTTTTAAATGCAATTACAAAACAAGAGCTCTTGCCGGGTCATAGGTACATTATACGGAAATCTAACAACCGTATTGTAAAAGATACATGAAAGTTAACGTAGTTTTGTGCACATTTCTGCTCGATTCCGAATTGATCTCTTTCCACGTAAACAAATCATTAGTTTATTATCTACAAATCGTTTAAATATGCTGCTGATTACAATTATTCTATCAAGCAGCACGTTTTCAGGTAATTTTGTTTATTTAATTAAAATCCATCACGAGATAAATCCGATTAAATCAATTTAAATGAACACACTGATGGATTTATTATTTCAATAAATATCGTGACCAAGCCAATCGGAAGTCATCATCATTTGATGCTCTGTCAAATCATCTTAACCTTCGCTTGTAGTTTCATGTGATAAAGAGACGTACTTGTATGCGTATGCGCATATTATGAGTGACCTGCCTTGGGGCTTGTAAATAACGCAATGAAGTTTGATAGAGTAGGCTCATATGTATTTATTTATTGTCTAGGTATATCTTATGTTAATGTAGAGTCATATTTGTGGACAGCAAAACGTTTACAGAAAGTACTAATCTTAATACAAGAAATTATTAGTAAGCGAAAACTAAACTCATCCATGCTCAGGTTAAGCCTGCTATTGTTTGATAATATTTTTAAGTTATCTATTCTTAAGTATGAGATTCATATTCAAGTATAGATAAATGAATAATATTAAGCACATGCTCCAGGTTTTTTAGAATTCATTCCCTAAAAGAGGGAGAGGGGTGAAAAAGTCTGAAAATAAACATAATATTATTACAACAGGTATTTGTGTGGTATATCGGGTCGCTAATTACGAAAACAATACGCTTTAAAGACTTGCCGTGACAGAACAAAATTTACGTGGGTTGAAACCGCGGGCAAAAGCTAGTCACGTACTTACTATACGAAAAAAATTATTTGAATGAAAAATAACAGAATGTGTGACATTACTTAGGCTGAGTTGCACCATCTTACTTTAACTTTGATAAACGTCAAAAATCTGACAAAGTCCATACAAAATACGCCGGATAACGTTACAAAGTTAGGTGGCGCAACTCAGCCTAAGTCTCGTATGATAAAAAAATGTCTTTGAATGAAGAATAACAGGATATATGGCATTACTGCTTACTTCTACTTCACAAAACGTACGGTAGTCATATGAGCAACCTGCCGGCATGTTAACCTCTGACTCAGTAGGTAAAGGTCACGTATGACAAGCGCTTCCTACGGGCCCACATTGAGATACACAATGAGGCACCTTATGCACTTGGAACAAGTTTCATTTTGCAACAAAAATGCAGGAAATAATGACTACAAAATAATAAACTGCTTCTGGAATTTAAGAATGAGAAAATGATTGTGCTTTGTCCGTTTTGATTAGATAAGGGATTGTAAACAATGTATTTGATTATAGTTATTTAATCACTGTCAACAATACCGCTTAGTAATGGAAGATGTGAAGAGGTAATTGACTCTACATTCTTGTTTAGTGCCTTTTATGTAAAACTAGCTGANTTAATCGTAAATACAAACAAAAACATATAATCTCAAAACACAAAGTAGTTCTATGTTACTGAAATATCATCTAAAAAGAACTGTAAGCAGATTTTTTTAATGTGAGAAAAAATACTTTATTATTTCAAAGGTAGGAAAAGTCGAATTTTCTATTAGATACTGAAGTGACCCTAAAACTTCGTCTCAGGTACCTTACGTCAGATTTAATATTTTCGATATTTATCCGGAATACATGTTCGAGTAGGTAGGTAGATACTACGAGAATAATTTCGGATTATACAACTTGTTATCGCGAAAACTTAGTAAAGAATTATTTCTACATAATACTACTTAAATTGTTACATAAATGCTGTTTGTTTACCATGAATAATAAATAAAATATGATAGGAAAAAGATCGTGCTGCAGCAATAGTAATGATTTATTAATAAGGGAAATAGTTACGTAAATGGAAACCATTTAATTGCAAACGTTTATTGTGCCTAAGGCTTTTACTAAGGAAGTTACTCCAAGCCTCAGTCTATTGCATAAGTAAATTGTAAGTCTAATAAATTATGATTCCAGCCCTCAACTGCAGTAACTTTTTACATATTTACTTAAAACACATTTATTATTATGAGACTTGACTTGAGTTATTATAGTTGTGTTACTAGTTTTTGCTTCAACTGAGTGAATTTCATAGCCACGATAGCCGAACGGTGGCCTACTCGAGATCCGAGGAACGCAGGTTCGAATCCCACCGTCACTCGACTATTGTGGTGAGCCCACTCGTAACACAAGCTTATTTAGCTTAACACGAGGGGCTAATGGGACTATTAGTAATTTGTGCAATACAAATTGCTTAAAAAAATATCGTTGTGTCAAAGATAATATCTTCCGATACCAGGTTTTTTTCCATGGTTCTGAAACTAGCGCTATACCACACACCCAAATCTGTTTAATGGGGGATTCTAAGAAATATTAATGAAGCATTTCTCCCTTTCATTAGAAGTAGCACAACGTGATCCTTGAATCGGAATTCAAAAGCCAAGAGTTTCTAAATTGAGAATAGATAGTTTGACACCATACCCCAATAATTCAAAACCGTTACTTTTTTAAACAGACCCTTCATTCTGGTCGTAAAAACTAAAAAAATTACATTACCTGTAAATTACGATTTTTGTTCGCATTGTAATTGAAAAAACTAGTTTAATTGAGTTGATATAATAGTGACGTCACTTGCTTTTAGTGCCATACAAAATCAATGGGAGAGTTTCGTTTTGACAGTTTTAAAAAGTACGTCAATGAGGGCTATCGTTTTTATACTTAACAGTTGGCACCCCTGGCGATTGACAGGACCTTACTCTACAATGGCGCCATCTTGATGAGTGCAAATGCGATAGTCCTCCTACCACTTTAGCACTCACCAGATGGTGCCACTGTCTTCGCTACTAGCAAGTGATAGGACCTTACTCTACAGTGGCGCAAACTGGTGAACGCTAAAACGATAGCCCTCATTGATTGGTGGTGTCAACATGTCTATTCAGAAGCCGGGGGTTTATTACTTACATGGCATTCCGTGTGTCCGGCACCGGCCTGTTGCTAGGCAAGTTGTCAGACGCCGCCTGGTTGAACCGATTCCTGACGTAGGGGTCCGAGTCCCGTAGCCCCCCCGCCACGTACCCCCCCTCGTCGAAGTAGGTCCTCCCGGTGCTGCCGGTGCCATACGCATCTTCAGGGGACGCTGGACTGCTGTCGGCTTCCTCGACGTCTGGATGCTGTTTGATCAGACGGAGAGCTATGTTTTCTTCCTGTAACAATGAGAAAGGATAAATTAGTTGAAAAAATAATAATTATCCGCTGGGTGTATACAGTGACACATTATCGTATCTCGGAGGGGCCTCTTCGTGTTGGATCTGTATCCCCATGAACGCCTTCCAAAAGGAACGACCTCCACGCGCACCGTGATCATCCACGGGAGAGATACAAATAATATAAAATGAGAAAGTAAGAAGAAAGTGAATGAATATACTCCATGTACTAGCTAGTTGGGCCTAGTAATGTTGTGTCCATGTATCTTAGTTAATTAATACTACAATATGGGGAAAAACGTCTTAAGTTTTTTTATTTACGAGTACAACAGTCGTGAAAATTTATACGTGGAAAATCAAGGGTCGAGCAAGAAGAAAAAACAAAAGAGTGTCGATATTCGGCGCTGACAAGAGTGTAGTTTTTCTTAGTGGCCAGTATCGCGCGGCCAAAGAGGCCGCAACACTCCACAATATGGCACATGACATGATAAGTGGTTTTGAATTTTATGAAATCAAGAGACGAGTAAGAAAGGAAAAACAAATGAATGTCGATATTCGGGGTTAAAAAATAATTAAGTTTTTCTAAGTGGCCAGTGTCGCGCGGTAATGGAGGTCGTTCGTAACACTCCTTAAAACATGGCACACTTTGTGATAAGTAGTTTTGAACTGTGGAGTTTTTATGAGATAACATTATTATTTATTTCTAAGTCGGAGCACTCAGACTATAATAAAGTTAGAAACGGGCTTGTTGTCAGTGGTATCTAGTAGGTGTATTAGGTTCGTGTGCATATTTTATGACTCTCCGAGTAAGTTGTTTTTGTCACTATGCTTATGTACTACTCGTATGACTATGACTGATCTACGACCGTAAATAACTTTTCTCATTTACTACAACTCCAAGCCCAACACTTTAAATCGCCTTAGAGGTTAATAGCTGGCACGAATTGATTGCAAAAAGTGATGAGCCAAAACAAGTTCTTGGCGGATGTTCTAATAAGCCTTGTGACTTAAATCATTAACGTTCTTTATCACAAAAACGTATCTACCGACAAGTCTTTTATCTTTTTTATCAGGTGCTCGAAGTCGTCGCAATAAATCACACATTATTTTGTCGTTCTTTACTAACACTTATAAAATGTTTTAACTGTCATACTAACGAACGATACACAAGCATTAAGCTAATCAGAGGGTTTAGTATAGCGAACTAAGATAGCGACTAAGTAACGGATAAAATACTTAAATAAATACATAATATGATACCTAGAAGTCCAGGACTATAACATTTACCTTAGCCGGAATAGAATCTTCAACTAGAGCTAGTTTGTTTGTTACGTGAACCACTATGCCATCAGTAAAGATTAAGGATAGAGATTTTCTAAATACATATTTTTGCGCAATAAGCCAAATAATATGCCAAACATTTCTAGATATTTAAAGATCAAGTGGTCCATTCATCTAATCTATCCCTTCCACTTCTCCCCCGCTGTTTAACTGACGTAAGCTTATTCAATATCACATATCTATGACAAACCGCGAATAAACTGGCAAACGACGAGGCCACGACCTCCCGACCAGTGTCAAGGACACTTCGGATTTCTCATTCTTGCGCTTTGCATCACGGTGTGACAGAGTTATATAACTATTAATAGTCAATAATTGGTTAAGTCTGTTTGTATAGAGCAGCATAGGTCAATAAGATTGGGGCATAAGGATGAAAGAAGTTTAAGAACGCCTTTGTGGACATTTTTTTTCTTCTAAAGTGAGATTATAATCTTTGCCCGAATCCTTTAGGGACCGTTATAGAGCAATCATGTTATCACGTTATATTTTGTAGTTACTAGAATCTAGTAATACCTTCTTACTATCCCTACTGTTTCTAACCAAATTGAGAACAACTACAAAAGAGTATTTTTCTACAGATTCTTGTATCGTCCGTCCTCCTGAGAATATACGATAGGTACTCGTATATTTTCAGAAGGATGGACGATGCACCTCTAGTGACTAAGCAGTCCGTGGTGGTAATTCTACCTAGGTTTCTACATGGCTACTTCACTATACAACAAATTTTTATTTACAATTTATGAATTTACAGATAATCAATTTACAAAAATTAAACAAATGAATATAGAGATCCAGAATATTTAGCAAAGAAGAATGAGTTCTTAAATAAATATGCATTTCAACACAAAAACTAACTTTTCCAGTTGCGAAATCCGATCGCTTCTATAAAGTTTTTTCTTAACCTTGACATATGATTTTTTATTGGAATGTATAAAATATGCAAATCCATAAACTAGTTTTAGGCTGGGATGTTGTCATCGTTTTGTAATAATAGACATAAACTTCGGAGAATTTGTGTCTGATGAAAGTTATTTTATACAATAACAGTTTTATTGGCTCTGGAAAATTCATTCATGCCCATAAAAACACTATCTATAATTAAAGAGTTTGTTTCTTGAACGCATTAATGTCCGGAACTAATATTTGAAAATGCTTTTGTGCTAGACAGTCCATTTAGGTATCGAGGAAGGCTATAAGTATGACATCACATTGGAGCGGAGCATCAATGAAAAGTGTTGAAAAACGGGAAAAATGATTCAAACCATTTTTACGCAAACGAAGTCGCGGCGTCTAGTAGGCTCCCTAATAATGAATAATGATTTGTATTGTTAATTATGAAAAATCTAAAACGTTAGAATAACGGTATCGTTGTGGCCAATGAGATGCTGTCATAGTGACATTGACAATACGTCAATGTCACACGAGAATCAAACGTCAGAATAGAGGGACGCCGCGGAGTCTCCGCGCGCTTTTGTGCTAAGTGATGAATTGTATCTAAAATAAGGCAATATAATGTGAAAGATGAGTATCCAGTGTTTTATTTATGAGAATAGATCTACCGGCCTCTAATAGTATATTAGTGACTCTACTAACTAAAGCAGGTAAATTACGCATTTGATAGATAACCTTTCCGAGCTAATGATAAAAGAGTTCACAGAAAAGTTATTTATTCTCACGGTGTAATTATCGCAATCCACCATCAATCATACTGAGGTTGATAATTTGCTATGATCGTGATTAGCATTATTACCCATTATGTTTGCCTACCTTCATTACGATTACTCTACGAATTACGTTATTTCTTTGGACTTTAAGCTAGTGCAATAAGGTTGGGAACTTGGGATATTAATTGAAGTTTCCAAATAGAGACTCTTGAAGAGTGAAACTTTTGATTTAAGTAATATTGTTTTCACGGGGTTCACAGCGACATAAAAACTGAAGATTTATTTTTAAAAAGGAACGCTGTATTTAGGAAAATAATTGCACAACTGAGAATTAAAATAAACATTACGCTGTGATCGGTCAATTGACCTTAATTTTATTTAGGTGAAGGTCATCCTTAAAAGAATAAGTAGACACTAGGATATGGAGGATGAGTATTTGCCACGCTGTTAAGGCCTTTTACACACTGCTACTCAATGTAGCGCTTCTGTACGCGATAAAGTTGCTATAGAGACGGATGCTGCCAGTGATAAAACGCCATTAGTTATCGTTTTATAGTGATAAACACGTCACAAATGCATCATTGGATGCTGCTGAGTGGTTGCCAATTTGGTTCAAATTAAACTACATAAAATAATATGTAAATGACTATTGTAAGTAGTCTAAGGATTTTGGACTAAATAAAAAAAATTTTTTTTCATTGATTTTATCCTATTTGTACGTTTTATGTAGTACACACTTAAAATCATCATAAAATATAATATCGCGATGCAGTCACGCGTCTAATCGCTACATAAAGTCGTAGTGTGGAACCCACCTTAGTTATCCGATAGGGCCCATTACCATAATCGCCCTTGAAGCAATTTGTCTTGGGCTTGTACATACCATAACAATCAAAGAAAATTAGTAGTACAATTTCCCGCGCGTAAGTACCTTTTAACTTAACACCAATCAACTTCTCAAGTATTTTCGCAATCGATGAAAATTCACATGAAAAAACTCATAAAACTCATTAATTTATTCAAATAGGCTTTTAAAAAGCACTTTCACACGTCCCAGTATTAACCCTACCACTGCTTCAGGACAATAAATGGGCCAGTGCTGAGAAGAAGCAGCGCAAGAAACTCAGTTATGTTTCGTTTAATGTAGTTTTTAGCTATTATGTGGCTTAGGGTGAATTCGACCAAACAAGAGTAAATATTAATCTCAGAATACATCGTCAGTTTTGACATATTTCCAACACTGAAACTGTCAATGTGTCAGTTATACCAGGAGTTTTTCTCGGATAAAAGTTTGGTCGAATCGGGCCTTAGTAATACAATCTTTATGATAGGTTAGTCGTTACAGAAAGTCCTTAGTAATGTTATTTGCAAGTTTAATATAATCCTGGGTTCAATTATGCATTTAAGTCAATTATAGCTAATGAGATCAAAGTGTCAATGCATGGTGTCACTAACTAGAGTACCTATAAACGTGCGTGAATGATAATCTGAAGTCATTAAAGTCATTTACTTGTTTTATGCAATTTTAGGCTTTTCAAATGCGCTTTTATTTATGTCCTCAGCACTTTTCAGGACATGTCTTGACCTTAAGGGCAATTGGAACTCCGCAGCCTTACATGTTTAATGTAATTACGTATACGAGTAAAACCACAGAATACATTGGTAATGCCACCATAGTCACCACAGTAAGGTCTATTTGCAGTTTAGGAGCCTTAAGTAGGACCATGAAAGTAATGGATTTGGCCTTTGTATATGAATATAGTTGTAAATATATGGTTTAATTTGTGTGTTTTTAGTATGAATATTTCTTTTCTATCAAATTCTGGACAGCTTATCCGCCTTGTCTTGCTATTACGCCAGTGACCACAAGAACGTTTGTCGTGAATTCGTGACCGCCGTGGTCCTACCAAGATATCGTATTTCAGCTGACGTCACTTTAACGAGGCACAAACATGTCAATACATCATCTTAGATCGAACTTGTTTGTACAGTCAG